GTTTTTATCGCCATCTTGTGTTTATCACTCTTCCACATAACGAAAATTCACTTATTGTAGTGTGAATTTCCCTAGCCGAAGTGCAGGTGACATTGAAACTTGTAGTATTACCAATCCAATCGAACTGATTCGTCCATATAACCAATTGCATCACTGTTAAAATCCATACAGAATGTCCAACCTCTGTCAATCGAGAAAACATTAAGATTTACCCTACTTTTTCGACAAGAAATCAAGCACTTTTTCCCCTAATAACAATTTACAACTTGTAAAACGGTGTGAGACAGTCATGGAAAATTATTGGTAAATCAGTATCCACTTATAAATTCTGTTTTCCATGAAGACATGTTGTACTTAATTTGATTTTAAAATCGGGCGCGGACTTTTTCAGTCGGGCACCAATTTTTTTCCCCAATTTTGGCTAATCCAATTTGAAGCAGCTCCAATGTAAAATTGTTTGCCCGTTTTGTGGTGCCTTTGGCGGACGTTGATCTCGGACGTATTGCAATGCTCCCACATACAAATTCACCTAAATTATCAACCAACTAAGTCGTTTTGGCGTCTGTTTTTTCCAATCTTATGTCTCCTTCTGTATGGATCTTATGCGTTTCAGCCGAATGCCCAATGTGATCGACTTCATTAAGACAATGACCGCTAGGTAAGTGGGCCAGACACGTGCTTTGTGTTTACTGGTGCGTGTGCGTGTGATTTGCCTGTCGTTCACACCTTCCTTTATTTTTCAATTTTGCGCTTTTTAGCATCCCCAAGTTTTGCAGATTGGGACTCAGCGATGACGACCTCGTGCGCGTTACTTTGCGGCTTGCAGACTTGTAAGTTCAGACTACCGCCCTAACGCCAATTATGCCGACAACCACGCCAGTTGTGACGAATGCGTGCCAGACTGTCTGACATGTATTTTACGCACACACACACACACACACGAAAATGGTCTCTTAGCTAAGCGAACTCAGTAACCCTGTTCGTGAGTTTGTCTCATCAAATCGCACAAAGTTTCCTCAAGATTTGTGTGCTTTTTAGGTAGTACATCTTTCCTGACGTGCACATTGTAAACAATTGGATGATTTGGTCGGGCACATAAACATCGGAAGCGTTCGTGCACGAGCAAGTGTGTGTACTCTGCTTTCTTTCGTATTTCGGGAGTCAAATGTATTGACACAAGCACTGTTTCTTAATCAAACACATCTTAATCATCAAACAGGTGTTTAGAAGCTCATTCGTTGGTTCAAACGCAACTGATCACGCCAAAATCCCTTGCGGTTATACTTGCCTTTTGTGACCTTGAGCGAGCCAATAAAACGCGAGCGGTTGATTTGAATTGTGAGGGTGGTGTTCGCGAACACAGGAACCGAAAGTAGACCTGATCTTGAGGTAACCAGTAGAGATCGGCTCTCAATCCTGTCTAGATTTTTTTAGTTGCCATGGTTTTTTCGATACTGGTCTGGAAAGATGATTACTAACGATGTGGCAGGACCCCCACCTTAAATTCAATCGATTATGAACCGCAGGGGCCTATTTGCCAAAACGAAGACGATATTTGTTTAAGCCCGTTTTTATCCTTTTATATTTTTAGTTTATTAATGTCAAGAAAGTTGGTGGACCACCTTCGCGCACGTGGGATTCAGGTTTGTTCCATCGTTTTTTTTTGTTGCAAGAAACGCGATTAAACGAACCTCTGATTGCTTCAGCCAATCACTTTCGTCTCTCAGTGTGTTGACCAATCAGATTACCTCACATCAACACCAACGATTTTCTAATTACGGGACCCAGTCGGGGTAGAAGACAGACACCGTCTGCCAAATGTGACACTAAAAGATTTCTAATGAAAAGTTTTCTAGTAATTAAATTAACTACCCATGGCACAGGCTCTCGTCCGTAATTTCATTGTGATTGGCTGCTTGGAGGTCAGATGAGAGCCTGACGTACTTGCGCAGTTGTCAGGACCTTATTTCGCAGGGCAAATTCAGTGTGTTGATGCCAGAAATTTGTCATTTTTAGGTATTCTACTGGGTATGCAACACAGACGAAGATTTTGACCGTGCCTTCGCCATGGGCAAAGTGGCCGTAGTGACTGACTATCCGAGTGAATTGGTGGCGTACCTCAGGCGTCATCCTGAAATTCCAAGAGGAACATTTTCAAAGTCTATCTAAGGTTACTTTTAGGTAACAATTAGGGCGTTTGTTACGTGTATTGGAAAAGAGACCACATGCTTATAACAGCCTTTTCTGTTTGTGCGCTAATCACAGCCAGCCAATAGAATTTTGGCGAATTCGAGTACCTACTAATCGATGTGCTATCTTTTTCTCTGTAAGAATGACGTGGACATATCAGCCAATCCGCGTCATTTAAGGATGAGGTGAGGTGTGCAAACATGACTACAAGGGCCGAGGCGCAGCTGATCACACCACCTTGTTTGGTAATTTAGCGTTTTTCCTACATGAGCACCAACACCAACTCGAGTGAGTCAGCGCTGCTCTAAACTAGGACACGAGAGCCTTCCACTGTCAGCCGAAGGCGCACACACCTTGAGCCAATAGGAAGGGGGCGGTCGATATGAACCCGAAAATGGTGTGTAGGAACACGAGTAATAAGGAAATATGGAAGCTTGTCAAAATCTTGAAAAGATATATTCCTGGTGATATTTATTTCCTCTGCAGTATAATTGCAGTCTTGATTAACACTTTAAGGTGGTGAAAGTTATACCGGCGTACTCATTTGCAATAAGTCAATTCTCTGTTGATGCTATTTTTTCATCGTTGCTATGGCGTACAACCAGTCTTTGGCGAAAAAGGCCATCTGTGTTTTAGTGCGGACAAATAGCTTTAGAGAGTGAAGTATGCCTACTTTCTCGGTTCGTTGTCTAAATTCCAGAATCCTGTCATTTTTTAAGTGCGCTATGTTCAACAGTTTGCCTACATAGGTCACGCATAGCATGGTTCAAAATCTATGCGTTAGAGTTCCGATAAATGTACCAATGGCCACTGCCTCTAATCGATTTTGTTTTGCCTCGAAGAAATCTATCCGCTGTTCCACCATTTGTCTAGCCATCTAAGTGACAGCCAGCGCGGTAGCGATAAATGATGACGTGCAAAGAGGTTAACATCGTGTACACGCCAGTAGTAACCGTCGTGCGACGTGTTCGCGCTCATTTATTGGGTGCTTCTTGAACCATGGACCAATCGCCGTCAAGTGGAGAACTAGTAACCAATTGGAAATGGGCAAGACACATAAACAGGCATGTGATTTGCCTAGTACACCCTAGAAGCGCTCACGTGACACTGTTAAGGCGCGAAAGTCATTTTTCCAAATGCGCAAAATATACAGGAGATTTGGTTGGCTGGCAGAGGATTCATCCAGCAGCTTTGGTTGGTTTTTTTACTAACCAAATTTCTGAAGCGTCCATAAGCACCAGGATGCTGTTTTCCGATTAATACGTCACATTGAAATGTCTGACTAGTTTGCTTATAATCAAACAAGACATTTTCGTGAACGCTACGTAATTCGTTTTCATTACGCCAAAGTTAATTTTGATACTTTTGGCCCTTTATTAGATCATGGTGCCTTAAATGAGTGGGTTGGAATTTTCGCGTCATAGCTACCAAGGGGGTCATACGTAGTTAGGCTCCTTATTGGCTGTTAGAAGGTCACACGACGTCCAGGCTGTTCATTGGTTGGTCTGTTTCCAATGGACATGGAGAATTATGTGTTGACCTGTGATTAATAAGCCTGGTGGGCGACTTGTCTCCTTGCCACGGCTTCTTGCGACCTTGGTCAATATTTTTTGTTTCACAGCGAGGTCTAGCTCAGATGTAACCATGGCAAAAGTCATTGATGTTAAATCCTAGAAAACCTGTCATTATTTTTTATTTTACAAGCGTATGATAGTTGGCACTGTGGTGGTCGTTGTGATCTTCGCGTAATTTAATAATTGATTTGTTTAAAAGCAACATATCCTTAAAAAAAGATGTGTTTTTGAGCGATTATTACCCAACAATTTAAAGAAAATTTAAAATTACGAAGTAAGTTTTACTTAAAATGAGCACCAAAGATTACGATTTAATATCTACCAAGCAGTTAGCGTCTGGTAGCTGATGGATTATTTGGTGCAACAGCCAAACATTTTGTCATAATTTCACAATGTCGTATGAAATGACGCAGAAATTAGTGAATGCATCAAAGAGTAGTGGTTACCTACGCTAAAAATGTTAATTTGTTTTGACAATTCAAAGTGGTTGGCAAAAGCAGGCAAACATGGACTTTTTACGCCCTTACTTTCTGCAAACAGAAAAAACTAGTTTTAGTCTAGACCCACTAATAGAATAAACAGGGCCTTATAATGATAATTCGTAGAAAAATACCAGCAACATTTGATTATATGGACATTACATTTAAGTGGGAATCACTTATAAAGTTAGCTGTTAATGAAGTATAAATCCAATGAGGCTAAATAATTGGTTAAGCCATCAAGGTAATTAATTGCTAATTTAAGCAGTCAAAATAAAGGAGCATTTTTTTGTGAATATGCAAAGTAGAGAGCGTAAATTAAATTCTTAACATTTTGACCTGAAAACAGTTGACGTCATTTGCAAAAGATCACTGCCGGTTTTTTAGTGTGGATTAATTGACGCACCCTGCTGACGAAACCTGTTAATCAATGCAGCGCTATCTGTGGGGCGGTTCAATTCTCAGCCACCATCTAGAAATGAATACAAATATGCTAAAAAACGGTGTAAATGTTGTTGTAGAAATTCCTTTTGCGCACAATTGCATTAAAATGCCTCAATGTTAGTGAATATGCTCAAATAAATTGTCACCTAAATTACCACTGAATACAAAATTCAATTTTGCTGCTGAATTTCTCACTAAATATGTCAATGGAAAAAGAATGTAAAAGAACAGAAATTTTAACATAATACCTCAAGTATCAGAGACGGTTTGCAAATTTGTTTAAAAAAACGCGCACATATATCCGTACTTGAGTTGTGTGACGTTATACTATTGGCAAAATGGAAAAAGGAAAATATGTTCTAGTGTTAATTAACTTAATCTTAAAGTGTTACCAAAACCTTGTAGTTCAAAAGAGGATGATTTAAAATTTAAAAAATTTAACGACACAATCCAAGGTTAATTATGTGGCATATTTAGCCATTAGTTAAGATTGTTTTTTTGTTTGCACCTGATAAAACCTAAAAAAGAAACGTTCAAGGTTGCTGAAGGCATTACAAGGCATCTTAGTTGTCAGCTTCAAAGTCAATAAAGAATTATTAACTACCTGGTGCAATATACAGAAATAAAAAGGGTTTTTAGGGCCGTCCAATTCTTTTTAAGGATTAAATCGCATTCTAACGCTGTGGCTGACAAGGCTGGGTCGAAATAGTGAAGATTTATTGTAACAATAACATAAAGATAGTGTATTACAATTTTTAAGAGTTATCGCGTTACGTTAAAAGGTTTAGCTAAATTGTGCCCTTAGAAGTATTCAGTTGATGTTTGGCTCCTCGATTTACTTCAGTAATGCGGGACGACGTCGTCCCTTCTTGGTTAAGATCTGTCATGTTAACCATTATATCAATTGACTAAGGCGTCTGCAAATTGGCATCGTCCGATGCGTAGTAGCCAAATAGACTTGTTATAAAGTATTATAAAATTTTTTGACAATGAAAATTGATAAAGAGGGATCTCAATTTTTCATTGCATTAGAAAATCCAAAAGAATTCGGTTTAAATGGGAATGCATGGCATTCAATACCTTAATGAAAGTAGATACATGACATAAATTTCTTAAAAAATTCATATGCTCTTTTACTTATAATCGACAATATTTGTTGTGTGCTGATCTCAACAAAGCATGCTAGAAGCCAGATTTAAATGATAACATAACAAGATCTATATCCAATCCGTCGTATTCATTAACCAACATTCAAGGATTTGCTTTAAAGTCCTTTAGATTAGAATATGACTATCCATTTTACTGCAGCAATAATTCACAACAATAAATAATGCAAAAAAAATTTTGTCCACTGCAGAAAATCAAGAGCCGCATGAATACAAAAATTTTGGATTATTCTAAAAAGTCTAGTCAATTAATATGCAAATATTTTTTACAAATGATTCACAGCTTTGCAATATTATATTTAATGTTTAACAAATTTAGGATAAATCATATTAGGGTAATGCATTTGTTTAAATCGCTCTGTGACCTGCTACCTTCTCCGAAAATTTCTGGTTTGGTATATCCTTCTACAGACCAATGAATAAAGAACAGAAGCCCCGTGTTAGGAAACGTGTGACACACATTGTTACAGATAATAAAGACAGACATAATTATGGAAGTGAAAAACCGCTGTTTATCTACTGCTGTATCTGCGGTCAAATGTCGCTTATTCTTGACTGCCCAATTGAAAAGCTACCTGAACGTCCTAGAGACAAGTCAAAAGTTGTCGATGTCAAAAAACGAGCACACAAGGTGATTGCTACTGAAGCCAGCGCCTCTAGTTGCGTTTACATCCGTTGGCCTGATGGCATCGAAAAGCAATATCGTCGGTATTGCAAAAGTTGTGGCCTTCTTCTTCTGTATCGCCACAGTGTGAAGGGACACGTGGTGCGTTAGATTTTGTCATGAAAAATTCCATACATTTTTTGCAATTACTGAACCATATCGTGACTCTCTCTCTTTCAGGCAGAATTTATCGTCCAAGGTGCTTTGAGTTTGCAAGAAGGAAATGTTGGTTTATCAGCGTCGGCCTTGGCAACCAGAACTGCTAAGCTGGATGGTACAGATGCTGGTGAGGCCAACGTGAAACTCCTCACGGCGCTGGCCTCGCAAGCTGAGGCAATGGCCCAACAAAGTGGCAGTACAATGGCCCCGCCTGTCAACCCCCTGTCGACATCCGCAAAGCTTAGACGATCTGTTCAACAGCAGGAGACCTCCCAGGGCGTGGACACTGCGGTGACAGTTTCGACAATTGAGGACGAAGAGGAGGAGGCCGAGGCTAAAGAAGTTGCTGATTCCTATGCCGCAAATGCACGCGTAATTGAGGCCCAGATGATCCGTAGGGGTATCATTAAACGCCGGCTTGTCGATGAGGTTTGTGCAGTGACAAATTTGCTCCCGTTTTTGCTTTCACTTGTCCTCTAATCAGCGTTGTCACCGGAAACGTTTCACATGATGTATAATATTGTGTTGGGCTCCCCTTAAACTTTATTACTCGCCCGCATTGTCAAAGTTTTTTTATTTTTGAGCCTAAATAACGCTTGCATCTTGCAGCTAACTCCTAGTGTAGCGTCTTATGTGCTCTGGTACGCCATCCATTACGTTTTCTTTGAAAAGAGACTGTGATTAGTCGTTCACATGCCCACTAGTGTCAATTAATGATTTCACTTCCTAACGATGTCACAAGAACCTGACCTGTGAAGGCCTTAAGGTTGATCTCTTGCCTCACCGCCTGGATCCACTTCCTGTGAACCTCGCCTCCTGTAATCTACATGACCCCTTTTCTCTAATATATACTAGTCCAGAACTTCATCAATCTTACGAACGCCTATAAACCCATGTTATTTATGTTTTAGGCTAATGAACAGGCCGCCAAACGGCGGATACGGGGCACTTTGATCGAGAAGTAATGTATTCATTCTTTTGGACTTGTACATACTCTGTTTTACGTTAAAACAGGCAATTGTTTACGCCAGGTGTTCTTAATATACTCAGCAGCCCTTGCAAATTTGATGGAAGACCACATACATGGACAATTTTAATCGTTGAGGCTTGAAAGACGTATCGTAAGTAGTGAAGTTGGTCGTCAGTCACGTTCAATAGACTTGTGTATATGATTTTTAAAAAAATCTGGGGACTTGAAGTTAAGATTAAGTCGGTTTCCCTGCCGGAGGGTGAAAAGGAGAGTAGGACAAAGTGAGCTGATTCAGTGTGGATGATCCTCAAACCTTCTCGAAGTTGCGTCTCGAGAGTTCGTACCACTGGGTTGTTCGATCATCGATTGGAAGGGAGTTCAAAGGGACCACAGCCTCGCCAATGAGATGTTTCAAGCCAAAGACGTCCAATTGGCGCGCAGAAAAGAGCAGGCTCGCATTTTTGTACTCCTGTGGGGGGATCTCGATTGTGAACTAAAACAAGCCAAGACACTTGTCATCTCACCGTGCACTGTAATGTCTCTTCCTATAATTCGATAAAATTCATGCCTCAACTGTGCCTCTAGGGATTCCATAATGTCCCAAACCCTGGAATTGCTGGTGGTGAAACTGTTTACGATACACCTGTGAACGAAAATGCTACTCACACGTTCGTCAAGTAGTGGATTGTTCGAGAGGAGGGTGCAGGTTCTCTGGTGAGAGAATGTGCGCAGGGAATTCTGGGTGACGCGAGCTTCGATTTGAGCGTTCGCGGTGAGGTTTTCGCCAGGGAGCCACTAGAGATTGACACAAAAAACAAACAAAAACCTTGGTAGCGATGGCGATGGTTGTGGAAATGAAGGTGCTGCTTGTGGTGGTGGTAGTGGTTGTAGAAATGATGGTGGTGGTGGCAGTGGAGGTGGTGGTAGTAGTAGTGGTTGTTGTGGAGGTGATGGTGGTGGTTGTGGAGATGGTGGTGGTGGCAGTGGTTGTGCAGATGATGGTGGTGGTGGTAGTGGTTGTAGGGATGATGGTGGTGGGGTCAGTGGAGGTGGTGGTAGTAGTGGTGGTGGTTGTGGAGGTGGTGGTGGTGGTGGTAGTGGTTGTAGAGATGATGGTGGTGGTGGCAGTGGAGGTGGTGGTAGTAGTAGTGGTGGTTGTGGAGGTGGTGGTGGTAGTGGTTGTAGAGATGATGGTGGTGGGGGCAGTGGAGGTGGTGGTAGTAGTGGTGGTGGTTGTGGAGGTGGTGGTGGTGGTGGTAGTGGTTGTAGAGATGATGGTGGTGGTGGTTGTGGAGGTGGTGGTGGTGGTGGTGGTTGTAGAGATGATGGTGGTGGTGGTGGTGGTGGTGATACAGAGCGCACAGTAAACCCACCCAATTGTGGCCGTGGTCTACGTTAACATGCAGCCTTTCGCACGATCCACTCAGCCCCAAGGTGAGCTGAACAGCCGTGTAATCGGGGGCACGAGGGGGCGGAGGAGGGGGTCGAGGTTCACTGCTGCCTCCCGGCGACTGCAGCGGTTCACTCCAGCAGGGATTGCTCGTGACTTCGTTCACCTCTAGTGATTCGGCGGGCCAAAAATAAGTTTCAAACCAAGTAAACAAGTCGAACTGCGAGGGAAGAATCCCCTTAGCGACTGGAGTGATTTAATTTCGAGAAAAAAAACATGCAAATGAGCAACTAACCTAGTGTGGATTCCTGAGGTATTTCAGGCCTGAGGTCGGATTCGTTGGGCTTCCAGCAGTTCGCTAATTCGGTGCTCTAAGTTGATAGATGAAAAATTGACGTGGGGATTCACATGTTGGAAAAACACGCATGCACCAGCTACAATTGAATATTATGCAGAGAATTCTGAGGGGTCTTTAGCATGCGATTTCGCAAACCAGGTCAGTGAACGGGCTGATTGGCTGAAACACACACACGCACGCACACACCGCGAAGTGGACCGTGATTGGCTGGAGCTAAAGGACATACGAACAAACCGCCAGAGGCAATGAGAGGCATACAGAGTGAGATTTCGCAAACTAGGTCACCCCAATGACAAAGTTTGTGACAGGGAGCGTGCCGACTGATTTGGTCATTCCAGTGATATGATTGGTTCAAACGCGAAGTAGACCGTGATTGGCTGGAAGTAGGAGATACACACACACACGTAAAACACCACCAGAGGAAACAAACCTCGGGATAGAACCGAATCAAATCCACAAGGGCAGTTTTAATATCATTCACCAGGGCATCGGAGGGCGGAGAGGGCTGGGCGCAGTTCAGGGTGCAGTCATCTAGCTCGGCCAGTTTGTTCAGCAGCGCCAACGCCCTGTGACTGTTCGGATAGGCCGCTAGAAGAGACCACGCCAGAATCTTCAGGTCCTGTGAGTCTCGCGTTACGCAGAAGCCTTCTGAGGCGGTCTTGCCGTTTGGAATGACTTGGAATTTGAAGACAGGCTGAGGAAAGAGAACAGGTGATAAAGGCAATCATGAGGGCCTACAAAATACCCCAGGAAAGTCTGCAAGCCGATCAATATTTGGACTTTAGTTAGTCGGTTCGTGTTCTAACTGTGAATGTTTGAAATACTGGATTTCAGTACAAAACAACCTAAAATGACAAACCTTTTCCTCCCACATAGCAGTCACAAACTACGAGGTGGCACGTACCTTCAAGAAACGTCCGTTTCGCACCACCGACGCCTCCGAAATTGAAATTCGAGCCATTCTGCATTGGAATGCCAAAAGAGAGGAAAAAACAGCGTGAGAATATGCTGCACCAACATCCCGCGTTTCCTATTGGTCGACTTCCAATTCTCAGCATTCTCATTGGTTGAGCCGGCACGTATGAACCATATAATCGATATTGGCTTAACTTCACACTCACCGTTCGTCCTGACTGGAGGATGACAGGGCCTCCTCAGCAGAGAGGTTCAGGTAGACTCCGTGTACCACGAAGGAGGAGTACTTGTTCTCAAGGTTACCCACTGCGATTGGCTGTTTTTTGGTGCGTTGAAATCTGTCGTGGATCATGTTGTTCAACTGCGACGAGTAGGATTGAATACTGCGTTGAATTAGCCTATCAAAACACGGAAGGCGAACGTGTTAGGCAGGGTGGAGGTCATTGCGATATGCTACCCGGTCTCTGTGTGAGACAGTTAGGGGTGAAAGTGGGACAAGGGCTGGTTGGGGTGGAGGTCAAACTTACTCCCTAAAGAAGGCCTCGGCCTCGAGGTCGCTGATGTTTCTGCGAAGATTACCGCTGACGTGGCCGATCTGACCTCTCTCCAAGCCCGGCAGTCGCATTTGCCAGGCCTACAACAACAAGAACAACAACAAAATTAACAGCCGGCTTCGATTGCACCCGAATTCCACGCTGAGGTCACGTAACCTACCATCTCCATGAGACCCATTATGGAGAAGGCTCTGCTCCGTAGCATGTTATAGGCTTGACAGCACTGACGCACGAAGTTCGGAATGCTGATCAACTCCTTTGGAAGGCTGTCGAGGTCAAGCGATGTCATCGAAGATGGTTCCGCAGCCTTCACAACCTCCAGCATGTCGGGAGTGAGGATAAATGGCGAACGATCGCTACGCAACGCCGAAAACAAACAAACAGCAATGGCGTCAGGAAGTGGACACGTGGCCAACAGCGACTGGACAAAGAAGTCCACCTACCGATTAAAATTGAGCACCTTCTGGAAGTTGCCGAACACCTTCGCGAAGTCGATGTGGAAGCTCTGGCCGTTCTTGCGCATCATGATGTTGTCGTTGTGACGATCGCCCAAGCCAAGAACAAAGGTTAGCACGGAGCCAGCAACTGTTGAGCGCGCGAAATTGCTAATGGCCTACAATTCAAGAGGGCCTGAATTTACACTGGCCAATGGTTGACCAGACAGTGATGATGAAGATGATTGCCTGACACATGGTCACAATTTATGTAGTTTTGTTGTTTTTGCAAAAAACCCACGACAAGCTCCCCGAGGTTGGTTTCAGTTTAAATCACAACCTTAAAAATTTTGTACTGACCGCCTTCACCCTATTGGCCAACGCCACTTTTAATGTGCCATCTTTAGCCGACCGTCAAGGTCGACCGAGGCATTCGGATGTCCATTCGCGACCTTGAGCATCGCAGATGGTGAAAAGAAGACGAAAAATCGATATTAGAGATGAATCAATCGTAACCAATGAAAACACGAGTGAGTCATTTAAACACACACGCACACGCACACACAAACCTTCTGCTGTTCCTCTGGTGTTTTGTGATTACTGCGAAGCCACTGAAGCAGTCCGCAGTCCTTCTTGACGCGCGGATTTGACGCGTAGTATCGGTTAATTATCCTCAGTGTCTCCGATTCGGATACCTGCGAAGGAGGTTTTGTGGACATTGGTTCAACCGTGAATCAGTGAAGTAAAACAAGGCTAATTAGCAAATAAGAAAGGACCTACTGGCTCAATGAAGCCCCTCTTGGGTTCTGTGGGCATGACCTTGAAGTGCGGCACGCACAAATCCAGTCCTCCGTCCAACCAAATGCGGTCGGCCAGTTGAATCAACTGGCAAATGAGCAGATCCATCTGAAGGTCATCGCCGACCTTGAAGAACAAAAAAACCAAAAAGCGCTTTCTAAGAGTGATACTGTGAGTTGATTGGATGAGAGGTAGGTACTGCGATCGAATTAGATGAGAGGTAGTTACTGTGGTTTGATTAGATGAGAGGTAGGTACTGTGATTTGATTGGATGAGAGGTAGGTACTGTGATTTGATTGGATGAGAGGTAGGTAATCAATGCCGATCAAACTCATGGACAACTTCGTAAACACACACACCTTAAAGATGGAATGACGAGTTTCTCCATCTATTCCGGAAAAGGTGAGCCGGATCGGGCACGTAAAGGAGGTGATGTAGGTACAGTCATCAACCTGTATTGAAAAAAAAGCAGGATAACGCGAAAGAGAACAATTGTGACGATTTGATTGGTTCAAGCACCCCATAGTACACACCTTCAAACTCCTACTACCGAAACCAAAATCGTACGGAAGTCGAAACACGTCCAATGTGTGCTCCGATTTGGAAGTTTGTGTGGACGTCGTGGAGGCAGTTGGGAGCGTAGGCAGAGGACGCGACGAAGGGCCTTCGTCGTTGTTGGATTGGAATTGCGAATCCAGGAACCCTTGTATGACTTCACGGCCTTCCTGTAGTGTCTTCAGCTTAACCTCAGTCTTGGCCGACTTCACGGCTTCCGCTAGTGTTCAAATGACAAAGCATCGACGTTAGACGCGACAGTCAACATGGAAGATGGCCGTGTCCAAGCGGGAGCTCACCTGTCTGTCGAATCAATCCGACCACGCGGGCTTGCAGTGACCACGTGGCCTTCAGTCGACTGCCCCTCAGCCAAGTTATCGCCGTCTTGAGAAGGATCAGTCGATGTTGGCTGTGGTAACGCTGATTCAACACAATGCCCTCAATGTTCCTGTTAAAAAGACAACGACGGCAACCAATAAACAGCACATTCGGTGGCACTCCGTTCCACTCCGCCTCAGTGGATAAATACTTCAAAACGCAGGCCGATGTGTGTAAATTCGTTAACGACTTTACTGCCACGAAGCCTCCAAGTTTCCATCGCGACGGCATAAAGGAGGGCCATAGAAAGCGATGGACAGTATTGGCAAGATTAAGTTCGTTGTTCTCTAGCTTTCTACATTAAGTAAATTTGCCGAAAAAGCTGTTCCAGTGTGGAAGTGGGTTGCCTTTTTGGTTAAGTTTCAAGCACATCACTGTAAAGCCTTCCATGGCCTCAAATGCGACAGTGTGACTTGCCAGTAGAGGGCGTTGCAGAATCGAAGCGAGGTGGCAGACCGATGGAGGAGCAGGCTAACCAGACCGGACCAGTCCATGTGGAGGTCATAGTTCACAGCCTCGAGTATCGACGGGAGGTAGGAAATTAGCCCGTCTGGCGAGAGTTGGGACAGGCAGCAGACGGCCCAATGACGGATACACTGGTCTGGGACGTCGGGCAAGAGGAGACGGAGAGCGGCCGCCGGACACAGCGGGGCGCTCAGTTGAATTAAGCTGTGGCAATTAAAACAAATGCAGCGACCTTGAGGCTCAACAGTAGCGCGTAATTTAAGCTAAGTTAAGCAGCCAATCACGAGTCAGGTCGCAATTTGGCAGACACACGATTTAAATAATGTGGTTCACTTGCTGAAAACAAATAAAACAAAAGCAATTTAAAAGGGAGTAAAGGCCAATGGGCAGACCTGTAGAGATTTGAGAGGAGAGCCATCCACAGGGTGTGTTCGTGGGTGGCCTTTTCGGGAGAGCGAGGGGTACGTCGACACTGCTGTGGCCAGCAGACCGGAGCGGCGACCAGCAGGGCTGAGAAGAGCTCTGGCGACGAGGTCAAGTGGCCCCGGATCTGCCACAACTCCTCCACCGCCTCCTGCTGCCTGTCAACGTCGCCCACGGGGCCCAGGAATGTGGTGAACTTGAAGTCGTTGTAGGGATCGGGCAGACGACGCGTGCTCGGTGACAGGTACGCCACGGGATTCAGCAGAGCGCTTGACGCCTCCAGCAGGCTCTTGCTGCCGAGTTTCGGTGGACTAGACAGGGGACTGAAAGGCGAAGGTGCAGTGAGGATGCGTTGATATGACGGCGAGAGAGAGCGGTTAACTGACAAGTTTGTGCTACTCACGAGTTGAATTCATTAGCGACCGGAGGTTTGGGGAAGAAGAAATCCGACTCGTAAATGGGAAATTCTAGCTACAATGCAGAACGAAGAAAAACACCATTCTTATCCCCCTGTGTTACCCCTCGATTGCATTTTTTGGTAATAAAAGAATCTCAAACACCGCTTGTCCTTGCTTTGAAAAAGTAGACCGGAAGAGCAGGAACCAATCATTAACAAGACCACTTCAAAAATAGCGCAAATCCGCATTGCACACACCACGCAGGAGCTCTGTGATTGGTGGAAATGGCAAGAATGTCAAAACGCCATTGGCTAAGGGTAAAGCGAAGCCAACCTCAACAACGTAGGCCAGGGGACTGCGATTGGGCTCAGTGAAGGTCGATCGGTGCTCCGGCGATAGACCGTCTGGCGGTGGAGGCCACAGACCCGCGAGGACCACTTCCTGGCGCAGTCGGCCATTCGCGTCGAATATTGGCACATTCACCCAGCCCAACAACGTACCGCTGTGCACTAAACGAGGACAAGAAGCGTTTCATCGACGTCTTGCCGATTAGTGGTCCACATCGAAACCAACACCTGATTCATTTGGAGCGACGAATTGGATGTTTGGTGCAAACAGAGTGCTGTCAGGACGCGACACGACTTCTGGCGTGTCTACAGAGTTGATTTTACTAGTCCGCCGGCGACAACCAATAGTAATTTATAAAAATGCGTCCCAAGGACTCAAGCACTTACAAGGCGTGACCTTTAGCCATAAATCTCCTCGTGTTTTTCCTGAGTTTATGGCGACAACGTGCTTGCAATTATGGTCCCAGTTTAAGAAACGGCATTTAGACATCTTCATTGTTTACTGCCCCCAATTATGGCTCTTTGAATCAAGAAGGCATCTCAGGAAAGACACGATATCCACGGTTAGACAAGTGTAAGACCATTCGAATTTGCTTATGGAGGTGGCTTTTTCCAGTGAGAAGAATGAGGAAAGTGTCGGAGAACTTACGAACCGCAGGCTCTTCTGTTTGCTTCTTCAAGGAGATGAGGCTGATGCTGAGGAGGGTTTCTCGAGGAAGTCGACGGAAGGTAAAGTCTGTGGAGGAGAAAAAAACTATACACAGGAACGCACACACACACACACACAATAACGGGAAATGTGATTGTGATGATTCTGTAAAGTTGCGGAGATGGGGGTGGTGGTGGAGTTTGAGGTGTAGGTGACTGCGAAGGTGGAGGCGGTGGTGGAAATAGTAGTGGAGGTGAAAGCAGTGACGGGGAGATGGTGGCAGTGGTGGTTGTGAAGGCGATGGAGGAGATAGAGGTGCCGATTCAATTGGTGAAGATGGTTTACATGGTGGTAGCGTTAGAAGTGAACTGTGATTGTCAAGGTAGTGGTGGTGGTTGTGGTGGTGGTGGTGGTGAAGGTAAAGACGGTAGCAGTTGCGGACATGGAGGCGGTGGAGTTGGAAATGAAGGTGATTGTGAAGGTGGAAGCGATGGCAGTGGTGGTTGTGAATGCGGTGGTGGAGACAGAGGTGATGATTCAATTGGTAGAGATTGTCTAGATTGTGGTAGAGTTGGAAGTTGACTGTGATTGTCAAGGTGGTGGTGGTGGTTGTGGTGAAGGTAAAAACGGTGGGAAGGGCGGAGATGGAGGAGTTGGAATTGAAGGTGGAAGCGATGGCAGTGGTGGTTGTGAAGGCGATGGTGGAGACAGAGGTGGTGATTCAATTGGTGGAGATTGTCCAAATAGTGGTAGAGTTTTAAGTAGACTGTGATTGTCAAGGTGGTGGTGAAGGTAAAGACGGTGGCAGTGGTGGACATGGAGGCGGTGGAGTTGGAAATGAAGGTGATTGTGCAGGTGGAAGCGATGGCAGTGGTGGTTGTGAAAGCGATGTTGGCGACGGCAGTAAAGTTACTGCCTCTACAAAACCAAACTTACCCACAAACCGTATCCATTCGTTGATTTTGCCATCAGAGGACAAATCGGCCTTCCGGGAGTAGTGAAAATCGCGCAACACAGGAGTAGTACACGCAAACCCCAGAAAGTCCTTCGAGTTCCTCGGAAACGACGGACCAGAATCGGGCGTGCAGACCTTGGAGAGGGGACGCCCAGCGTACGTGAGGGCCACGTGGATGCGCACACATCCGCCTAAGCTACAATCCAACATTCCACGATGTCAACACAACCAGCCACCACACTCGACACGACAAAGTACACGCCAGCACTCACGTGCGTGGATCAGTGGGTCGGGTTGGGTCCTGGGCGTGCGTGGGAACAATGACACCGCCGATTCTCACGATGAGGGGCAAATCACACTTCGACATGCGGTGGGCCTCGTGCCGCGGCGTGATTTGACACCCCAGGAGGCGCTCGCACTCCATCACACTGCCAATCACTGCAAAGCAAGGAGTCGCGACACCAAGTTAAGCGCGCACACGTATGACGCCAATAGCGATTTCACATTGAGAGAGAATTCTCCAGATGATATACTTCTACATGCACCTTCATTGCTGTACGCGGAATGTTTTATTAAACCTGACACCGCTGGCTGGATTACTATAATACGTTGATGCGTATCGGATCATCGAATGTACTATTGAAAACAAGAGCCGTTGGTTGAATTACAGAATTCCGGACCATGCATAATGAATTTTAGCAATCAACGAGTCGCATTATTGCATTTTGGACCATGGACAATTGGGTTGAAGCCAGGGTTAAAGTTGATAGCTAAAATTCGTGGATTGTGGAGTTTTCCAACTTTCAAATCAGCATCACACACACACGCGCGAAAGCTAGTCTAGTTAATAACTGGCGTATTTTAAAGAATCCAATATCATTAACGGATCTGTTGACTTCAACCTATGTGGGGACACAATTTACTTAGGGTGATCAGCGAGATTGATTATGCAAATCGGTTCATCAGACGTTCAACGCACACGGTGCCGGACGACGGAGGGAGAGTTGAAGGTCCGGATACCAAGCCTGCTTCCACTTCAGGAAGGCCACCGTCTGCCGCACGACTTGAACTTCAAGGACGGCCAATTTGTCCAGCAACAGCTTCTCCTCGTCCTCCAGTGACGCCTCTTTGGGGCTGGAGAGACTTCGTCGGAACACCAGTCGTCCCTTTCAACAGAGCAAAGAACAGCCAATCACTGCGAGGTCGTTTGGTTGTGTTGTGTCTGCAGTTGTGTTGGAACGGTTAGTTTTGGTGATGGCAATCTCTCCCACTGCCACAATTCACTAATTTACTTGGCCTTGAAATCGGTGATATTTTGCACACAGAACCCAGATGAGTACCGCGTTTTTGATTACATAAGGGTTAACTTTGCACACACACAAACCGATAGCACAGTCCGGCGCCGAAATGTCGACATCACATATGGAATATTAGGCTGTTTTACTGACGATTAATCGAATCAATGGCAAATCTAGTGGAATACCGATAAGGAACGTAGCCAAATTGGATTGCGCCGTTAGTTCAGCCAATCCCACATCAACGCGGGTTATCAAGACCTATGAAAAAGACCACCAGCCAATTAGAGACAAAGATGGATGGGGAACAATATATAATTGGCTGCGCAGTCAGTATAGTGACCTTGGATGGATGGTTCCGACTTCTATTTGCATCATACTAGGGTTTCGGTATTCCATGCGACAATGACCAATCAAATCAACCGAGTTCCGGGAAGGACCAATCACATCGATCGCCTCTCAGTGACGACCAATCAAGTTAGGGTCGCAGAAGTTGCGCACACCTACCTTTGGTTTTCCGCGCAACATGAGGTTGTAGAGGCACTGCTGTACACCGGTCATGGCTTCGGCTAGACTACCGATAGACACGCCATGGCACACATTCAACACGTGATTCTTGATGGTCTGTCGAAGGAATTCACAAGTGTTGCTGGCTGCCTTCAGTCCCTCCTACAGGAAAGAAAAGAAATCTGATTCTCTTTTTTTCACGCAAAAAAAGTGTGACCGTCTGAGAAGATCGGACCAGAGAAGTTATGTGTTGTTCGTGAAGGATTGGAGGCTTACAGGAGACGAAAGATAAGATATTTGTGTTCCCAGCTCGTGTATGTGCCTGCTTATCCGCTCCACGGACAATTCAATTGAGTCTCTAAAAAGGAGAGAAGAAGGCAACAGGGAAGGCGTGGGTGTGGCCACTTGGTAAGTGCATTCCTATTGGTTGACGCAGTTCACGCGGCGAAGATGAACTAGCCAATAGGCAGGGCGGAGGGATTAGTGTCGTCAATTGGCACCTACATCAGCACACACCCACACACACAAACTTACTTCGTGACAATACGTGTGTCGGCGGCGTAGGTTTCGTGAAGGTTGAGTGCAGTCGTGCTGTCTGACATCTGCCAATGAGAAAGTGGAAAATCACACGACTAGTTATATTGACATCCCAAGGCAAACATAACATTCCACTACATAAAAACTCTCGTTTGCAATGAGGGTCACTTCATCTCTTGTCTCTGGGTGCATCTACTACTTGACTACTACGTCTCAGTGGGCTCTAGCGGAACTTCCACAAGTGGTGAAACTGCTCATGAAGACACTGTGGCATTCTACAGCGGTCATTCAATCCTCACACACATCAAACACCAATGTCAGCCGCTTCGCATAAGGATGTGATTGCACTTGTACAAGGTGGATAAGGCAGTAAGGTTAGCACACCGTGGGTAGAAAGTACTCCTGGTCGCTGAAGGCCTCCAGCACGAGTCGAGCTGTCGTGCCAGTTCGACAACAAGTTTGAATGTACTCGTGATCGCAGAGACGGGCGTTTCTAGGTGTGCGAAAAAAAGCAACAATTAAAATAGAGTAGAACGCTATGCACTGATGAATCAGTAAGTGGTGGAGATATTTGGCCAAGTTTCATGATACTGAGGCAACGAGGTCGGCAGCAAAGCTGGTCGCTAGGCGCACTCGGCATCGCTTCTGAAATGAGTCATTTTAATTTACAGGTTGTGAACTTCAATTGGACGCTCGTTAGTTTTTGAGGACTTGGTTTTCTGTGAAAACTCGTAGGTTACATTAGCACTAAAACCGAACCGAATAAGCTCCAACACCACGTGCAAGTAGCCAATTCTCGCGCAATTTTAAGACTGGCATCTTATCGATTTGCATTTTATCATTTGTGAATGATTAAAAATTCAACCAAGTTCCAGACAATTCCTTCGATCGAAGAAAATGGTGATGCAATTGGTTATATGGACGAATCAGTTCGATTGGATTGGTAATACTACAAGTTTAAATGTCACCTGCGATTCGGCTAGGGAAATTCACACTACAATAAGTGAATTTTCGTTATGTGGAAGAGTGATAAACACAAGATGGCGATAAAAACCTTGTCTATCGAAGCATTCAGTGGACAAAGTAGCGTCTTTTTCATGTACTCGCACACGAAGACACTGTTTTCGCATACACTGAATGCCCCTGAACCAAAGGAATTTGTTCTCTTGAGATAAAATCTAGGATGTACACGAAATTCAATCAATCCCAACATTCAAAGATGGCGTTCTTGCTAAATTTTAACAAAAAAAACAGTAAATTTCAGCGACAATCGGCGTAAGTCCCAAATATGGTCTTGCAAAGTTTTGCGAGTTTTAAATTGCAACTGGGGGAAAAAATGCTTGATTTCTTGTCGAGGAAAGTGAGATGAATCTTGATGTCTTCTCGATTGACCGATTTTGGACAATCTGCATGGAATTCAACAAAGGCTTGGGTAAATTGCAACCACAACGTCTTTGTAGACATTGCTTGGCACGTGGATGGGGCAGCTTCAAGAGCATTCCACTGAAATCTTCCATTTGGAGCAAGACAACACCTTCAAAGGAGACGGCAATTTCGCCGTTTCGGTTCATTCTGCTCTTTTACCTCCACGCTCCCGGCTTTTTTTTCTTGGTGTGCCTTAACACGAC